TTGCAAGGGTTAAGTGAAAGTGCAATAATTTTTTGTATGAAATACTAACAGGAAATAATGTTATCCATACGCCATATCGTACATGACCGTATGACCATGTTAAAGTTTGAATTTTTTTCATTCGCAATGAAAACTTAAAATGAAAATAACTTGACTAAATGACCTTATCTAAAAAAAACGGTATACAGATCCGTAACATACTACGCAAAATTAATTTTACGTCTCTCGGCGTTTTTTGTGTAATTTTAGCGTCGTTACAGTGTTATCATCAAAATTTAGCCATAGCAATGAAATTTGTTTATAAAACTCTTTGGAGGTAGGATCTCCAGTCCCACAGGGCTCGTAATTCAAGCGGACTCTATCCTCATTTGTAACGCAGGATACCAGTAAGGGTACTTCAAAGGCCCCAGAACGCACGCCATTTTGGGTAGAATTATGGTACCATAATATACACAATTAACTCAGTGCATTTTTATAGATACGCATGGATTAGTCCAAGAGAATAGCAGTGCCCATGGCAGCAACATTTATGGGTCTCATCTGCCGCGAAGCGCGTTCGCGGTAGGATCTGGAAAATTTTACCGTTACCCTATAAATTGAACAGCTACAGTTTAAGCTATTCAGTTTTCTTAAAGTCCAATTAGTAATACTACTTAGGTATAAGTTGTTTATTCAAGGCAGTTAGCAACCAAGAAATTTAACAAAACTATTGAAATTCAACAGTGAAAAAATTTTTTTTTATAAACTTTTCGATTACTTTTTAAATTACTTTGAATGGAATTGGAAAAAAAACCAATTACATTTTCAATTCCTTTCAAAGAAATTGAAAAAAAAATACATTTTCAATTCCTTTCAAAGGAATTGAAATAAAAGAAATTGCATTACTAGCACGTAATTTATTCCGTTTTGTGTATTTCTCCCCTCATTGGATGTAGCATCGAAGGTGTTTGCCAGTGAGAGAGCGTTGGCATTAGCAGTAGCAGCGGTTGGCATGAGAGTATTAATGTTTACAGCAGCAGCATCAGCGGTGGAGTTAATAGAAGAAGAAGCAGTAGTATGAATGTCAGCAATAGGAACTATTGTACCAGCAGCAGGCGTAGCTGGAGATTTGTTAACAGCGCGAGAGGCAGCAGCAGCGTAGGTACTAGCCGGCATGAGGACGTTGGAATTTCCAGCAATAGCAGCAGTGGACATGATAGTGTTGGTGTTTGCACAACCAACATTGGCAGTAATAGTAGGAGAAGCATTGGTCGTAGTAGCAGACGTGTTAGTATAAATAACAGCAGTTTGCAAGAAATTTAACAAAGCTATTGCAATTCAACAGTGAAAAATTTTTTTTTATAAACTTTTCGATTACTTTTTTAATTACTTTGAATGGAATTGGAAAAAAAATCAATTACATTTTCAATTCCTTTCAAAGGAATTGAAAAAAAATTGCATTACTAGCACGTAATTTATTTCAGAGACAATATGAAATTCTTTGTGATGGAATTAAAGAAAAAAAAACAGTTCCATTTGAAATTACTTCAAGGAATTGAAAAAGTAATCGATTCCTTTGCTGTGAACTAAAGGAATTGAATCCTAATTACATTAACTGAGGAATGTAATTGTAATTGTAATGTAATTGCATTTACCCAGCTCTGGTTGGCAGCTAGTTAGGGCATACCGAACGTGTTCAAGTAACTTTTTATTAATTATATGATCAAAGATTTTTGAAAAAACCCTTTGCTTTACTATAGCTCGATAGTTGGAGATGAAACTTTTGTCGCCAGATTTAAAGATAGGTTCAATAGAACACATCTTCCAACAGTCTAAAAACGTTCCCAGTCTCAAACATGTTTTAAAGAACGTGGTAATTGGTTTTACTACATTTTCCACACAACGAATAAAAAATATTGGGGGAAACCCGTTAGAGTTATAATTAAAGCTTGGTTTGAGGTCTAAGATTGCATTTGTATCGTCTTCTTCGGTAATAAAAAACGTGTCAATAACATCGATGTGCATTGAATTTATAGAAAATTACTTGGAGGTTCATAGCTTTCAAACACTTTTTGGAAGAATGAAGTAAATAAATTGCAAGATTCTTGCGTAGTATTAGACACGCAGCCATTATATTCCATTTTATCCGGAATACCGGTTGAATTCCGCCTAGAATTTACGTAATTCCATAATGAGGACGGATTTAGTTTAAAGTCGCACTCAACTTTAGATATATACTGTCTGAAGAGCTGTTTATGGAGTTGGTCGAATTCGCTTCGAATATGGTTAAAACTCTGAAGATCCTTGGGAAGCTTAGTGTTTCTAAATTTTTTCAGAGCTTTATGTTTAACGTTTTTTAAATGGCTTGATTCCGCATTGAACTAAGGCGGTTTACTAGTGGGAAGACAAAATTTCGAAGGGACAAATTTAGTGACGGCGTGGGAAAAAATGTCGCAAATATTTTCATATATTAAATATGGATCTTCTATCGAATCTAAGAAATCCCAATTTATACACTATAGAAAGGAGTTTAAAGCATCGAGATTAGCTTTTCTAAAACATAAGCTAGGTTGAGGGCTCTTATTGAACCGCTGAAAACTAAGAAATTCAAACTTAATGATCAAAGCTTTATGATGCGTCGTGTATCGTGATATAGGCGACAAGTTTAATTCACACGTTGGCTTGAAGTCTTCTGTTGTGAAGACCAAATCAAGTAATTTTCCATTAAGATTTGCAAATGAATTTAATTGCTGAAAAGTATTAGATAAGGAAAAGCTAGTTAAAGAAGATTCAGTTTTAGATTTGATATTAAAGGGTTACAGCCAACCATCGTCAAATGACCAAATAATGTTAGTTAAGTTAAAATCACCCATAACAATTATCTGCTGATTAAAGTCAATGGACTCAGCAATAAATTTGATGTTGTTAATGTGCTGCTCATAAACGCTTAAACTAGAGTTAGGCGGTATATGGGATGCAAAGAAATAAATGCATTTGTCATTTGAAAATGATACAACTATACACTCTAAAAATTTTTTGTTTAAATTTACGCATATTAAGATAGGTAACCAGTTTCCTCTCCTAATGCGTGTAAATTTACACACCGTGTTAAATTAAACTTTAGATGTGTATTTGACATGTTTAAATTTAAACATCAAATGTCTAAATTCTAAACATTTAATGTGTAAAATTTTAAGTGCAATTTTAAACATTCTGTGTTCACAAGAAATGTGTAAACTTAGGCATTTGATGTTTTAAGCGAAAACAATGAATGTGTAAACCTCCACCAAATTACCCTTTTGGTGTTTAATTTTATACCTACACATACATATATTCTCCCAGGCGTTTTATACGTACAATAATAATAAGTCGTATATTACATTTTATTAAAAACCAGTGTTTATTAACATTTATTTATACATACCTACATATTTTGTATAAACATACATATGCAAGAAAAAATGCATTTATTATATTTTTGAATGAAACATATGAAAAAGTAAGTATAATAATAACATTGAAGTAGTGATACCAGCACTGGTATTTAGTTTAGTATAAAGTATTTTTCAATTATTTCATTAAATTTTATTCCAAATGTTTGCAGTTACTCAAACAAGTGTTCATATGTTGATTTTCTTTTAAAATTGACAATGTTTTTTAAGTCAAAATTTGTTATTTTTTTATATTGTTCATGCTTTAACAAAACCAAACATATACACCGCGTGTCATAACTATAAATGCACTAAAAAATTGACTAGTTTGCACCAATTATATTTTTATTTAAGTTGTTTTTTATAAAGATAAAATTTATTCTTCAATAAAAATCGTATAAATCCATGTTTCTAACCTAATGCAATATTTAAAAAAATCAACATACTTTCTTAAAAAATTCGAGCCTTTAATTAGATTTTTAAGAAAAATGTTGAGTATGTAGCTTTACAGCCCATTCAGTTTTAGTATAATAAAGTGCAAGTTTGAAGTGGCTAGGGCTTACTGTTGATTTTTGGTAATTTTTTTGCTGGCAGTGTAGTGAACTTTTTCCATGCAAAGTATGTGCGAGTTTTTTTATGCGGAACAAAATGAGCGACATCTTCAACCAAAAGAATAGCCAAAAATCAACGGAAAGCCCCAGCCGCTTCAAACTTGCACTGGCACACTTAATAAAATTTAATGGGCTGCAATCCCTCATCCTCTACATTTTTCTAAAAATCTAATTAAAGGTTTTCAATTTTTAAGTTGAATTATTTTAAATACTGTATTAGGTAAGAAACCTGCATTTATACGGCTTTTGTTTTTACTAAAACTATATTTTTATTAAAAAAATAACTAAAATTAAATAACAAAAATATAAATGGTTCAAAATTGTGAATATGTAGTGCGCTAATAACCATGACACGGGGTGTATGTTTGTATATAAGTCAAAGTTTCAAGCTTTATACAAAATTCAAAACGTTTTCATCAAAGTTTCGAACTTTTTAATCTTAATAGCTAGAACATTTTTGGATATGCAGTTTTATAGCTCATCAACTTTTAAAATAATAAAGGGCAAATTTTAATCGTCTAAAAAATCACGATTATTTTTAATATTTTTTTTTGCTGACGGATTTTTCCACTTTTATCCATATGTATAAACATGAGTTAGTTATGGAATATAATGCGCAAGACCGTTCGCAAACAAAATTTCAAAAAATCAAAGTCAGTTTCTTTGATTTGTACTTGCTATAAAACCAAAAATCTCAAAAACCGTCAGCAATAAAAATTGTTAAAAAATAGTGATATTTAGCCGATTAAAATTTAATAATATCAAAAAAAATAATAATAACCAAAAACTGTTCACTTGAAAAACATTGTGAATATTAAAAAATATCAACATGTGAACACTTTTTTGAGTCACGGTGTACGTATGTGCAAGTTAAGTTTTGATTAAGCAAATATGTAGCATTATTAAAAGACACATTCAGACAAAAGTTTGTAAGAAAAGCTACGGTACAACGTAAAGTGAGTTAACGTGAGTTAATAAATAAAATATTTAGTACGGTTCTTTTATTGTTCAAAAGCTGTAATTTTGCTTATGAAACTATTAACTTTTTGCAAACTGTTAATATTTTTCTTTTTACCACGTGTGGAGATGGGATAATGCTTATAAAAGAAGCGTACTAAAAATTCTAAAGTTTGCGATATTTCGCGTGGATAGATTATGTTTAATACAAAAAAGAAATTTATCACTAGTTGTAAGTTAAGCAAGAGATTACAATTTTCTATTTTACTAACTATGGTTTTTTCAATTAAAATGTAGGCCACAACTTTTCCACCTGTTGCATCATCCTCTGTAAATATAAAGGATTGAATGATATACGCTTTTTTTTTTAATAAATATGTTAAGATACTTACCGACAAACGCAATGAACGGTGTGTTTGTTGGAACCCTGGCGACAATGCTATCCACTTTTAATCCGAACTGAAAATTAAAACAATACATGTCCGTCAATTGCGTTATAACAATCTTTTGTGAAGAAAGAGACCTTACCTCAAAATCCAAAAGCAAAAAACCTAAGTCCTCGTTGAAATATTTTGCAATTCCGGTGAGTATTGACCGTTCACTGGAATCATCGACCACCGGATTTTTTATAAATTTTTTGAAAAATAGAAAAATTTTTTCTTTTGTGTTTAGAAAATTTTCAGCAAACGTGTCAGACTTTAAGCCCATCAACTCTTCAAAATGCTGGCGTAAGTAATCGGTTTCAAAAATGTAAGGCCATTCAATTTTTATCTCGGCAATGGAGTGTATAACTTCCAAATTATTAAAATACTCTCTTTGCATTGGGAAGGTATCTTTCATATATGATCTGATTATACTTTTTTCGTCAGAGTTAACCCATTTTCCATGTAAAATAAATAAATTTTTTAAATAATTTTGCTTTACCTCAGCAGTAGCTTTTGTGTCATCCGAGCAAAAGTCTTTTGGCTGCCAATTAGTACAAGTGCTTCGTAGCAAAGCAGATCTCCTTCTTTGCTTTGTAGGTATATTAGGATCCAGACACGTTTTTTTTAGATTCGGTGCTCGATTTAAAAAATTGTTGCGGTTCCTCATAATAGTCAGCAACGGTATATTTGAGGTAGATATAATATTACCTTCATTGTCCTTTTCCATAAAAGACTCGGGAAATTTAGTTGCAGCTTGTACTGAGACGACCCTCAATGTACTCATTGGTAAGTAGAAAGATATCATTCTCATTTCGTCAACTAGTAAGTTAGCGAATGCATTTAATTTTTTGCCAAGTTTTTTCTTGTTTTCTAGCATTTCAAGGATATCCGATGGCAATTTCTTCCATGGAATTTGAAAGTGGTCAAAAACTTTCTTACTACATTCTGAAATGGGTGTAGGAGCGCCATTTAACACAGTAAGGGTCGTTTCGGAATTTAAATCAACAGATTCGGAATGAATGGTCATCATGTCGCATTGACTATTAGTGGCATTTTCTTGTTGAGGTGGATGTTGAGAGTTCAAATTTTGAATGGTATTTTCAGCTGTACATGGCGAAGGAAAATTGGAAACACGTTCTTCGTTAGTTTCGGCAATAACGTTTACAGTGTTATCATATTTTTGAAAAATTGTGGAATTCAAAGCAGTTTTTTCGGTCCATTCTTCGTTTTCAAGAAGCATAAAAATTTCTTTACTTTTCAAATAGTGTTCTAAAACAGAGTCACTGCATATTTCAGAACCATCGCTTTCCAATACTAATTTATACCCTTGAATACCATATAATCTAGCTGCAAATAGAAATAAACAAACTAAATTTTAAGGCTACATCAGCTGCCATACAGTAAAAGGTTAGAAAAAAATTTTATACATATTGAATAATGTTTCCTTTTAAAGCGTAACTAACAAAAATGTAAACTCAGACATAGTATGCCAATGTTATGACCAAAAATTGATTTAGGGTTATCAAAACAAAATTTTTGCATATGGGTACACATGTATGTATCCCAAATATTATTTCATGACATACAAAGTTTTCCACATTTTTGGCTCGTTCAATCTGCAAAAGAAATCTATAAAAATATATATATTATATATGTTCCCATAATTTTGAAAGTGTTCTTTTGGCGGTTTTTAGGGTAATCTAAAAAAGTGATGAAGGTCTTTTTTCTAACCTTTTACTGTGTGGCTTTGAAATTAAAAATTTCCAAATTACCTTTTTCGATTACAAGCTCGATTGATGGAGATGAAATAAATGTTTTCTTTATTCGCCGGTCAGCGCTCCAAACTTTGAAAACGTATTCGTCCATTGTTAATTTATATAAGTGTGTATGCAACTGTATCTAATATTTATTAATAATTTAAAAAAGTAAGTACTAATTTCGAAAGTATTTGAAACTAAATATAATACTTAATTTATCTTTTCTACAAAGGTATTGAATAAGCCAAGATAATATTTCTTATTGAAATAATATAGTTTTACAGGAATTTTTATTAAAATATCTTTCAGTTTAGCTAGCGTGTATAGTTTATCATTTTCTAAACTTTCATATAAAAGAGACTTATAGTTATACCACATCTTGATACAAATGCCATAAAAAATAGCTTTCTCATAATTTTCATTTAAAAATATATAATTTACTTTTAGGACGGAAATGTATCCTTGCTCGTCACAATCAATAACAATGAAATCGTTTTCTTTAAACTCTGTATTATGAAACTCTATTTTTTTCGAAACAAACACAAAAGTCTGCGGTATGCTAAAATTAAACATATTTTCTAAAATAATTTCAGCTGAATTACATACTATTTTAAATCTGAACCTATCGCCGAAAATACTTGCTTGCATTTGCTGATGATTCTCAGACAGAGTCAATGTTATATTTTTGAAATTTCTAGATATCTTTGATATCCTTTTAAAATATTGGTGCTTCTGCTCAAAGCGCATGGTCCACAAATGTTTCAAAGGGCCAAACTTTTGTATTAAATCTGGGTAATGTAAAATGTAGTGATGCTTTGGACGCAGTTTTAAGTGCGGGAAACATTCTCTCCTATATTCCATATATACAGGCACATAATGCGAGAGTAACGCAATCTGACCGTGATTTATTTCTGAACTGCATATTAAACGACACATTTCGATCATTTTCTGAAAAAACTGCCATACAGGTTTATCATATTCTGAAAATTTGTGTAGAAAAAGTAAAGGCAGCCAAAATAGAAAATGCCGAATTTCGTCAGCCTTTCCAGGTATTTTTTTCATATGATGCTGCACAATAGGAAAAGAGAATGATAGTTTGAATTTTTTACGTATTGATGCAAACCACATATTAAAGTAGTCAACAGAAATTATATTTGAGTCAAAAAAATATTTGCATACTGACATCAAATCAAAGGGTATAATTCCTTCAAACAAATCATGTGAAATACACGGCGGGAGGCCACTGCAGACATGATAATTATTCAATTGGTTTAGATATGAATTTTTTACTACGCCCATACCAAAATTAGGTGGGTTGTTCGCATTTTGAATACAAATATTGTAATTTTTTGAATTTCGTTCTTCAGACATGTTGATATTAAAATTTTGTAATGAATCTCTTTTATAAAAACAAAATCGGCATAGATAGTTACTGGTACTGAAATTTTCAGTGAACCCACCAATTTGGTGGCTGCCTAAGTTGTCACCAAGCACGGCTACAATGCTTCCACGATAATTTTGAATGGTATCTTTTACCATAACATCAATGCCTATTTCTTCCAACGTTTTCATATCTCTAATTAAGGGCTGAATAACTTTTTCAAAACCAAAGGACTTTACAAAAGATTCTTTACAAAGGAGAACAAGTTGAATATTTTGGATACCAGACCTGTATTCAACTGGGATATTGCCAAGCATCATGTAAATACCAAGAAGTTTATGCTTCTTTTTGGACGAGCCCAAAGGATTACAATTTTCAAAAGCATCCTGAAAAAGTAATAATTCAATACGTTTGGTTTTTCCATTAAAAAAGTTGTTGGTTTTATATAATGAGCCATTATTGTAATCGGAGAACACATCCTTCTGAAAAGTCTTCTCACTATTAAAAAGATTGAAAAAATCTGCGTCACTTAATAAAGACTGAATCGTTTTTAAAACCGGAATGTAATGGAAAAAACATTTGTTATGACGCTGATCAAAACCGAGGAATATCTCTACCGGGGCAACGTAGCTAAGTCGGTCTTTTAAAAATTGTTTTCGTTTGTGACTTGAGTCCAATTTACTAAGGCTTAGTGTCAATGAACCTCCTATAACGCCTTGCAATAGGTCATCTTTATGTTCCAAAATATTTAATTCACTACATATTTTATTTATGGTTGTTTTATTTTGNTTGCAATTCAACAGTGAAAAATTTTTTTTTATAAACTTTTCGATTACTTTTTTAATTACTTTGAATGGAATTGGAAAAAAAATCAATTACATTTTCAATTCCTTTCAAAGGAATTGAAAAAAAATTGCATTACTAGCACGTAATTTATTTCAGAGACAATATGAAATTCTTTGTGATGGAATTAAAGAAAAAAAAACAGTTCCATTTGAAATTACTTCAAGGAATTGAAAAAGTAATCGATTCCTTTGCTGTGAACTAAAGGAATTGAATCCTAATTACATTAACTGAGGAATGTAATTGTAATTGTAATGTAATTGCATTTACCCAGCTCTGGTTGGCAGCTAGTTAGGGCATACCGAACGTGTTCAAGTAACTTTTTATTAATTATATGATCAAAGATTTTTGAAAAAACCCTTTGCTTTACTATAGCTCGATAGTTGGAGATGAAACTTTTGTCGCCAGATTTAAAGATAGGTTCAATAGAACACATCTTCCAACAGTCTAAAAACGTTCCCAGTCTCAAACATGTTTTAAAGAACGTGGTAATTGGTTTTACTACATTTTCCACACAACGAATAAAAAATATTGGGGGAAACCCGTTAGAGTTATAATTAAAGCTTGGTTTGAGGTCTAAGATTGCATTTGTATCGTCTTCTTCGGTAATAAAAAACGTGTCAATAACATCGATGTGCATTGAATTTATAGAAAATTACTTGGAGGTTCATAGCTTTCAAACACTTTTTGGAAGAATGAAGTAAATAAATTGCAAGATTCTTGCGTAGTATTAGACACGCAGCCATTATATTCCATTTTATCCGGAATACCGGTTGAATTCCGCCTAGAATTTACGTAATTCCATAATGAGGACGGATTTAGTTTAAAGTCGCACTCAACTTTAGATATATACTGTCTGAAGAGCTGTTTATGGAGTTGGTCGAATTCGCTTCGAATATGGTTAAAACTCTGAAGATCCTTGGGAAGCTTAGTGTTTCTAAATTTTTTCAGAGCTTTATGTTTAACGTTTTTTAAATGGCTTGATTCCGCATTGAACTAAGGCGGTTTACTAGTGGGAAGACAAAATTTCGAAGGGACAAATTTAGTGACGGCGTGGGAAAAAATGTCGCAAATATTTTCATATATTAAATATGGATCTTCTATCGAATCTAAGAAATCCCAATTTATACACTATAGAAAGGAGTTTAAAGCATCGAGATTAGCTTTTCTAAAACATAAGCTAGGTTGAGGGCTCTTATTGAACCGCTGAAAACTAAGAAATTCAAACTTAATGATCAAAGCTTTATGATGCGTCGTGTATCGTGATATAGGCGACAAGTTTAATTCACACGTTGGCTTGAAGTCTTCTGTTGTGAAGACCAAATCAAGTAATTTTCCATTAAGATTTGCAAATGAATTTAATTGCTGAAAAGTATTAGATAAGGAAAAGCTAGTTAAAGAAGATTCAGTTTTAGATTTGATATTAAAGGGTTACAGCCAACCATCGTCAAATGACCAAATAATGTTAGTTAAGTTAAAATCACCCATAACAATTATCTGCTGATTAAAGTCAATGGACTCAGCAATAAATTTGATGTTGTTAATGTGCTGCTCATAAACGCTTAAACTAGAGTTAGGCGGTATATGGGATGCAAAGAAATAAATGCATTTGTCATTTGAAAATGATACAACTATACAAACATGCCCGATTAACTTATCTGCAAATGGTAAATCTACTAATCTGCTATGAAGGTTTAATTGAACTGCTAATAACACTCCTCCTCCACGAACGCAACCACTAGCAGTAGGACATCTATCATGGCGGTAAACAGTATAATGATTATCAAAAAACTCAAAGCTAGAAATTGACTCGCATAGCTACGTTTCAGTTATAGCAATCATATCATAGTCTCGTAGTGATGTCGCAATCCTAAACTCGTTGGATTTCGTTCGGATACCACTTGCATTATGGTAGTATAATGAAAATGACTTAAGTGACTTTGAGCTAGAAGAAGTAATAGAGAGTGGGCCGTCTCTTAGCCTGCTAGGTCCTTCTCCCCTTCCTTTTGAAAAAACTGGAATGGTCGAACTTTGATATTTGTTGTCCATAACTTTGCGTTAAATACATCATTATAAAAACAAGGAGGGACTCCAAGTTTGAAGTTTATGCTTCTTAATTCATTTATATTTGCATCTTTCTTCGCTAGCGTAAAGCATGATAAGTGAGTTCTACTGATTCCAGTGTGCTTTGTAACGTAAGAGAAAATATCATATTCTTTAACAGTGTTTTTAAACGTAGAGAGGTGAATCCATCTTTTCTTGGCGACTAAGTCGAGCTCAGAGTTATCATTCTTACCAACACAAACGGTAGCGCGTGTTTTTTTCACTTTCCCGTTTTGTGTATTTCTCCCCTCATTGGATGTAGCATCGAAGGTGTTTGCCGGTGAGAGAGTGTTGGCATTAACATTGGCATTAGCAGTAGCAGCGGTTGGCATGAGAGTATTAATGTTTACAGCAGCAGCATCAGCGGTGGAGCAGCAGCGTAGGTGCTAGCCGGCATGAGGACGTTGGAATTTCCAGCAATAGCAGCAGTGGACATGATAGTGTTGGTGTTTGCACAACCAACATTGGTAGTAATAGTAGGAGAAGCATTGGTCGTACTAGCAGAAGTGTTAGTACAAATAACAGCAGCAGCATAAGAATTAGTACGAAGCGAAACGGCTGGCAGGGGCGATCCATTTGCCGACAAAGTCTTGGTACTCAGTGCATTTGTGACAGGTTTGTTTACACCACTAGCGTTGATTATGTTGAGCTTAGTATAACTGTTGACAGCGCTGCGAAGATTTTTAATTTCGGCATTCAGTTGTACAATATTAACAACTTTTTCACTTAGCGTAGAATGCATTGAACGTACTTCGGCATGTATGTAGTTCCTCAATTTTTTTGATTTGCTGTGCTTTATCTTCGTGCAAGGCATTAACAAGATAAATCACTCGCGCATTCTCAGCTCTAAGAACACACATTTCGTTAAAAAACGATTGTAGTGTTAATTGCTGCTTATATGCATTTTCAGCTGGAGTCGCAGATGTTTGGCTTTTCTGAGAGTTAGATGTATGATGAGTTAGAGTTAGTAGATATGGCAATAATATTCTCATCCAAAGCAATGGATGCGGGAGGCGAGCGTAAGGAAGCACGATGCTTACCCATGCAGACTTTGCATAAAAAAAAGGGTTTATCAGCCGAGAGCAAAAAATCGAGGTCAGTCGCATTATTTGTTTAACTATTTCCTTTTTTATGTTCCTTCTTTTGTTGAAACTTTGAATTATTTAATTTTTATACACATGTACATACATTCATACATATGTATTAAATATATGCATTGAAATATTCTAATTTCAATTTTTTCTTATAATGAAGGAAAAAAATATTTAGTTCAGTGTTATCATATTAGTTTATGTTTAGAACAGGGGGTTTCGGATGTATTCTAAAATAGAGACAAGAGCCACAATGAAGATGAAATAACGCCCGCGGGCTTTATTTGATTTTTTAGGAAATCAAGCCGCGGGCGTTATTTCCGCGGGCGTTATTGAACTCCACCTTTCTATGTTTACATTAAAATATATTGTTTCATGATCAGAGATCTGATACATTTCCATTATTTTGCAAGACATATTGTTGCTGTTTGTAAAGAGCAAGTCTATCATTGTTTCGGCATCTTCTGTTTTTCTTGTGTATAAGTCTATTTTTATGACATGGAAAAGATTGAAATAACTCTAGTAGCTGTTTGCTGTTGGTTGTGGTTTTAAAAAGATTTATATTGAAATCTCCAATAGATACAGTGTTCTCTTACATTTTGGATCGCCTGGCTGATGTCGTGTATGCTGGAACGTCATATATATAGCCGTATTTTTTTACAAGGATTTAAAATTTAGATATTTGCAATTTTCTAATAGTTTGATTTTTTGATAAATTAAAATTTTGGTGATTTACCTGCATATGTACTACGGCATTCAATCCCGAAGCATTTTAGCAATTAGCGGGATTTCGGGTTGCGAATAATTCTTATCCCAGGATCCCGTGATTTATCGGGATTTGGACTGTATCACCATTTTTGGATCTTGCACCCTTCTCAGCAATCAAAAAATGAAAGCACACAGATTTACTGTCGCCACATTTGATCTTATGCGGAGCATAATATTAGAAAACACTTTTTTATGTTTTTTTTTTCTTTCATGATGGTCGGAAACTGTTCTCGAACCCAAACCTGCGGAATGGTAGGTGCGCACTGTTAACCGCTATATCTATAATATTTGTAAAAAAAATTCAGTTACCTCAAAACCACGCCAACAAAGTCAAATGAAGAACAACTCTGCCACAACACTATAAAAATTAAATTTCTAATGAAAACATAAAGGCGCTGGCCCAATGCAGGCTTGCTTTGCTTGCTTAGCTTTGAAAACTGTAAAAAGTTATTTGGAATATACTAAAACATATGAAGGGTGGCCAAATGGTAGCTTTGCTTCACTTGCTTTAAGCGCCTCAAAGTTTCAAATAGGCAAATATTTTATTTGAAAGCATTTCGTAGGATTTTGACAAAAAGATATGTTCCCGTTCTAAATCAATTCAAACAAACTGCTGCAGACTTTTATGTACAAAAAATGTCTTACGTAATTTAAAAAAATATATGTATAATATTAGTAACTCAAAGTTTAATAAAAAGTAATCTATGTTTCCATATTTATATTTAACATGTCGCTGGCTTAAAGTAAAAAGTTCTAAGTCCAATTTTACAAATTTTACAGGAACTTTGAATACAACATTTTGCGTGTTTAAAGCAAAGCAAACCTCCATACAAATCAGAAGGGTTCGATTTCTGTTAAAAAATGTCATATTATTTTGGCCTTATTGCATATTCGGGGCCTCTTTTGGACTTATAAAATTTATCTTTCATTGAATATAAACGAGAAAAAATAAAACAAGTACCTTAGTCCTTAATTTCTCTTACTTTCTATGTCAAAATTTGAGGCTTCATAAAATGCAGACTTATCAACTATCACACAAAGCTAGCGATATTTATGATGTCAAACTACTGGTAAGTCGTCTCTTGAAAAATCGATTTTTTTTGAGTTTTTTGATTCTAATAAATGTACATATAGTTATATATGTATGTATAATTATTATCATTCCTTTGAAATGCGAAAACTAATTCACATTCATTAAAAAATAAATCTGAAAAGATTGTTTTGTATACCTTTTTTTTAATTTTCTGGAATTTGATGGCAAAATTATTCTTAGTGTGACTTTTCAACTACACAGCTGGTTGCTTTGATAGGGTTCCAAGCCGCCATTTGGCCAAACGAGTTTTTGAAGTAAATCAAAGCAAATTAAAGTAAGCAAGGCGTGCAAAGCAGGGTTGTTGCGAATATTCGCATTCGAATTCGCAACTGCGGAACTTCCGCATTAATTTTAATATTCGCTTCCGCTTTCGCATTCGCAAAAATCAATGCGGATCTTTTGCGAATGCGAATATTTTGCAAGTGCACTGAGTATATCTGGCAAACAAAATGAAAAATTTTACCCAATTTTTTTTTCCTGTGGAGATGCGGTTGCGGATGCGGATGTGGTTGTGTAACCCTGGCGCCATCTACATCTCGTAAACAACCACATTTCTTTTGGTTTTGTGATAATTGTCAAAATTGGCATGTAGAGAAGTAAAGCTAAAACGGAATGTGATAAACTTGACAGCCAAGTTCACGAATTAAATAAAATCAATTCAAGGCCAATTTGAGATCTAATGAGGAGTGGGAATTAATATGCAATATTTGTTGAAAATTCGCGTTCATCAGCCTCAAAGTATGAAATGACATTGACCGCGTGGAATAGAACAGAATGGATTTGATAGCTTATGGCACTGACCTGGTGAGTAATTAATTGTGACTGCCTGCAACTTGGAAAAGTCCACCTCAGCAAATGAGAAAACTAATTACAGGTTATTCATTGCAGCTGAAGTATACAGCGCTTAAACTGGCAAAATATAGTGACACTTCCATCACAGGGCGAAGATATTGCGGCACACTCACGTGGTTGGCAAATTGTATGAAACGGTTTTAGCTGTTAATAGCCGTCATCGATTCGCCAACAGTTAGCAAGTGGCGAAACGAACGAACTCAATGAGGTACAACTAAACTGGCTATCGGTTATCCGTGCTAGCTAACTTTGTTGTTGCTTTCACATGCAAAATTTTTCTTTAAGCGACCGGAACTCAAACACAGCAAGCAGCGAAGTGGCAAATCGATGACGGCTAATGATTGGTTAGTTAAACCTTTGATCGTTTTTGGAAATAATAAAATAAAATTAGCTGATCAGGTACCACCACGGTTTTTTTTTCACTGATTTAAAAAATTACATTTGCGTTTGGTTGTTTGCCGTGTTTTACCTATTCGACAAGTCAACCTAAAATGCCACGACTGACGCAAAGTGGAGTTTGGTCTTATTTTAAATTAGATGAGCATGATCGAGAGAAATCCAAGTGTAATATATGCAATAAAATATATTCTCGCAAGGGTCGTACAACCTCGTCTTTGAGGAATCATTTGAAATCAATGCACCCGGAGCTGTTTAGTCTGGTTGAATGCGATGATAACGAAATTCAGTTGCAGAAAAAAAAGATGAATCAGGTAAGTTTTAACATAATGAATTTATTATTCTCGAAAAAGACTAATTCGTGTAATCAGTTAGTTGTACACAGAACCCAGATTAAGTAGGCATACTATTTTTTTACCTAAATTGGAGGGAAGTCTATAAATTAAATTAAATTAGAAAGGAACTTCTATTCTGCGTTTATCGGTAGGAGTAGCACAAACTCTTTAACTTTACGGCCCCAATCCAAATAGATTTTTGTTACATGTTTTTGTTATTTTGGCACTAGTCTCAACTGTTTTCGTATGATGTGTGTATTTAATTCAATTCTAAGTATAGCTTAGGTCATTTTATTTATTATTTATCAACATGATGAATATGCCTTCCATAAAGTTTATTTACTGTGTATACATATGTATGTATTGCTTTTTCAGATAAAAATGACACTCCGTTGCAAAAAGCTAAAACACAGCTATCTTTGGAAGAAGCATTTCAAAAAGAAAAAAAGTGGGACACTAACAATCCGAATTCGAAAAAAATTGACAAACTCATTGGAGAAATGATTGCACTACTTACCATTTTATTTTGTGGAGGGTGTAGGATTTAGGAGATTAATGCAAGAAATAGCGCCAAAATATAACTTAACATTCCACGATCGCTCAGAAAAAAACTGCAAAAAATTCAGGACCGACTGAATCAACCGCATCTCAAAGTGTTCCAAGACTGCAACACGCGATGGAACAGTTCCTTGTATATGTTCGAGCGATTTTTAAAGATAAAAGATGAGTTGAGTCTTTACATGACCGACAGTGACATAGTCCCAATTTTGCCAGAGGAGTGGAAGATTATGGAACCTTGTGTTGAGCTATTAAAACCTTTTGAAGAAGTCATACAGGAACTAAGCAGCTCTGAGACCCTCATATCATCCGTGATTCCAATAATTCAAATGCTTATAAAAAAAACTGGGAGACTTTTTAGCCAAATCACAATATTCTGATCCGATTCGGCTGGCATCTACGACTTTGAAAACAGAATTTTGTTCGAAATTTTTTTATCCCTGGAAAATGATAATTTATTTGCCATATGCACCTATTTAGACTCGCGCTATAAGCACAAATTTTTCAAACCAGTCACAGAAGAAAAAATTAAAAATGAATCACAAAGTCTAAAGTCGAAAGACACTGATGAACCTGTTATTTCCCCGAATTATGAAACAGCCAAAAGAATGAGAACGAGAAATTCTTTGGAAAAAGATTTAGAAAACGATCTTGCTTGAAAGCGATCTTGCCATTATGCTAGCCTCTTCAAGTGAAGATGAAAATCAGGAGGATTCACCCGACATTAGCAATTCCGATGCAATTCTCAAAAAGGAATTATCCTTGTACCGCAATAAAAAAAGAATAAATATTACTGAAAGTCCTCTGAAATAGTGGAGTGTCCATCGAAACGAGTTTAAAATATTGTCAAGTTCCGCCTCCACCAGCAAGTGTTCCGAGCGAGCAGTTATTTAGTAGCGCAGGTTTAATTTACGACCCTTTAAGAAACAGACTGGAACCTGAAAAGGCAGCAGCATTACTTTTTATTAAATATAATGCTTCTATTTTTAATTTCAAGTACTAAATAAAATAAACATTAAAAATCACTAACTTTTCCGTTTTTTTCATTTACTTAAATTACCTAATTTACTTTCATAAATTATTTCTTAGGAATACTAGACATCCGCATTCGCATCCGCGGATGTTAGCTCTTAGACATCCGCATCCGCATTCGCATCCGCGGATGTCTGAAATTCCACATTCACAACATCCCTGGTGCAAAGCAAGCCTGCATTGGACCAGCGCCTTTATCTTATTACAGGCCTTGACATGCTAGTGCAAGTTGTTCCTACACGCAATCGCTTTCAAATTTTTTGGAACGGGGCCTCTCTGTAAATACTTACTAAAAACTTTGTATATATACTTATTTACATATAAACATGGATATACCTTCTTGTTTTTATGCAATTGAGGGATATTTTATCTTTAATAATCTATTCAAGAATGAATTATAAGTGTATCGAGAAAATATATTTATTGAGTTTCATCGTAGTTTGACAAATATTCACCTTCTTAGCTCATATGTAAAACGAGAAATAAGAATTTTGCTTATGAGTTTAGAACTTTCAGCATTTCGCAGAAAGCAGGTTTCTTTCAAAAGTTTTGGTTTCTCTTTACTAGAAGCAACGGCATCGGATTGGCAGGTAGTGCAATGCTCCCCTTGGGTACATCAATAGTAGTATTATTTTCGTATTTGATGTCGTACTGCCTTAATATATTAGCTACTAGAATAAATCCAAAGCCTCGCACCAAATTTTGTCCAATGCATGTTCGTTTTCCAATACTGAACGGCAGGAAAAATGATATGTTTTTTTTTAACTGCGGGGGGTAATTTTTTGCTTCGGTCCCCATTGAACCTTTTGGGTTATCAACAAAGATTGCTCCGGTTCCATAGTCTGCTGTGCTAGGTTTATTCCCTGGTTGTCTCAATACTCTTTGCTCCAAAAACCTTTCCGGTTGGAAACAGTGAGGTTGTTTCCAGTATAACTTACTGTAATTTGACTTGTAATTGTTTATAAAAACAATAGTCCCTTTCGCGATCCCATAACCAGATATGACGACATCTTCAGTTGCCACATGTGGAACTATGGGTGAGGATGAGCATCTCAAAACCTCGAATATAGTTGCTATAGTATAAGGCATAGCATCGATATCATAAAAACTTATTGTGTGTTGTTCCTTGGGAGAAATTAAATCTCCTTCTAATTGAATTTTTTTCGCTACAATGGGATTTTTTGCCAAATACATAAGAGTCAGCATTACTAGGTTTCCTACAGCCGAATGTCCTCCAATAAAGTCCTCTAACATAAATAGTATTGTATCTCTTGCCACATCCTTGTCATCAGAGAGATGTTTAAGCAAAGCTTCTGTGAAGTCGTCCTCTGGTTGGTTCTTAAATAGTTCTCTTCGTTTTATGACGCGGTTCATAATAAAACATCGTATGGTAGAAGACCAGTGAACTATCTTTTTTATGTAATATTTGTAGAATGGTGCTAGCCAAGGCAGAAAGTCTAACACATACCCTTGGTTTATTTCCCAAAAGATTTTGTCGAAAAACTCGACGATTTCACAAAATTCCAGATCATTGTGCTCAAAACGTAAAGAACACATGTAACTAAAAAACATGTTTGCACAGGCACGTTGAATAAAAGGCTTAATTGAAATGAGTTTACTGCCATTAATTTCCTCGTTTAGTAGTTTCAACAATATTGCAGTTTCCAAACATCCGACATTTGACATCTTCGTAAAATGAGGAGATGAACTCCGCGGAGAGCAGTGCTTTCTTGCAAGGTTACGTCGTCTCTTCTGCAATGATGACCAGTCACAAAGAGCCAGAGCTAAAAATTTAAATAAAAAAATTTAATAGTTAATTCCTTCACTGAATTCTGATCTTTCACATATTATACTTATGGGCATAAATAAATGAAGCATAATATCTAATTATAAAGTTATTTATTAAACAAATACGCGTGATAAATTACACTGTAGGTAAATTTAAAGGTTTTGAAATATCACAGCTAAACGGCCAAACATGTAAACTTAATTTTGGCCTCAAGATTACGATGGCGTTTTCAGAAAATCCGTATCACGTCAAAATTTTGAGATATTTAGGGGGAAGTTTTAGAGTTCTGAAGGTGAATTTTTCGTCGTTTAAAACACTGTGCTCAGTGTTTGAAATTTTTCTGGGCAAAGGTTTTGATAACTGATCTTACTTAACTGGGATCTTTTAAATTCAATGGCGTCCTCCGTTCTTCCAGATTTGCTCTAGTTTTTGAGATAACGGTTCTTGAAAATCTGCTTAAATTTTAGGTTTTTTGTTAATAATTACCTCAGTTTTAAGGCTATTTTACTAAAATTTTGCACGTGACTGTATTTTGATATTACCTTAGCTATTTCTGAAAATCATGGAAATCGGTTCACTATAACATATAGCTCCCATACAACTGATTGTTCAGATATGTGGTTTTGCGTTACAACTCATAATTTATTTCGTAATATTTTTTTATAATATTATTATTATAATATTATTATGGGTTCTCTTCAATCCCATTTTTGCATATTTTGCTAGTTTCTAATGCTCGAATGATTTTTTTAATATCCTTTGCCTCCTGCGATCGACCAGCCAAAGTCCGCCAACATTGAATTCAATCGTTTTCCAGCGAATCGGTCCTCAAAACACATAATGGATTGGTGAAATCTCTCTGCTACCTCGTCGGTTTCTGTTGAAAGCTGTTGCTCGTAAAAGTCAAAGTGACTGTGTAGCATGTGGATTTCAAGCGACATGTGCACATCAAAGGCGTCAAAAGATTCCATCAAGTTCGCAATAAAAATGGCATATTCTGGTGAACGAATTAAAGCCCGAACTGCATCCCATGCAACGGCTGCAAAATTTTGACGTGATACGGATTTTCTGAAAACGCCATCGTAATCTAGAGGCCAAAATTAAGTTTACGTATTTGGCCGTTTAGCTGTGATATTTTTGCCTCCCTACTGTGTTATTACTCGAAACCACGAATCAATTTACAAGTTTACAAGTATGGAAAGTTGGATTTTGTTTGCTTATATTTGGCTACAGCTTAGGTTACTTGCTTCCTAATTCTCTGCACATTGAATTCCATATTCTGAAAATAACTTTGGAAAGCAATGTTAGAAAAACAATCATATAAAAACAACTCTACCACGTTTCTATAAATGGACTTAAATGCATGATTCAATAATTAAAGGTTTACTCACTAGTGACATTAGAGTTCTGACACTCCCTTACAAAAGCTTTGTACACACACACACAACTTGTCTTGCTAAGGGAGCCGATTTTGTCAAGAGGGAGCGAGAAACCTGTTTTCTGAGCAATCGTTTTATTATTGAATCATGACTAAAATGTAGAAAGAAATTTTTCATATACTCAGAATTTTTCTTTATACGTTCTTATTTTTAAATTTTAACAACAGCCATTGGGTAGGTTCTGAAGGCGCAGCTGTTGAACGCAACCGTTGCTAAAAAAAACAGTGGTCGTAATGCGTCTTCTGGGCGGCTTGATACATTCGCTGTTAAATTCAATTGTTAAAGGTACACAAAACATGTTGTATTAAAATAGGGATGCACAGCATGGGTGCTCGCAGTCGACGTCGTTTTCAAGTAAAAATGCGCATATGTATGTGTACTTTTGCGACTACCCTGCAGTACGGGGGAGTGACTACAGGACTGCTGAATCGGTAGCTACTTAATAAACACCGTCAAAAACCGACCGACTACTTGAGTGTATTTCATCGATTACTTTTACAAGGCAATGTCCTAGGCGGTAGACACCATCGGCTCTCTCTGCACTACCGGGAGTTACTAAAGTAGTCACTTTCGTGATTTATGGGCGGCCTCTGTCGTAGTTTTTCGCTGTTCTGCTTACGACTGGTTCGATTCTGCACTACCATGTGCACTACCACGGGTTAATAGAGTAGCTACTTACGTAGGAGTCGGTGCAGTAACGATTCAAAAGTAGCGATTCACTCCAGCAGTATTAGAGGGAACTGAGCCAGTGTGGCATCAGGGCACCAGAAGGAGCCCATTTTTCTAAAACAAAAGCGCCATGTTTTTATTATCATGTTTAATAATTTTATTAATTCAGTAAAAAGGGTACATACCTATCGTCACCTGAAATGCAAAATAACGTAACAACATCGTCACTGAAATGCAAAAAGTTGTAACTTATAAAAAATTCAAAATTCACTTTTTGATTGCTATGATGGATTTCATCGAATTACAACTCCCCACATCGTTTTATGAAAGAAAAATTGGTCGCGACTTTTTCCATTTCAGTGACGATGTTGTTACGTTATTTTGCATTTCAGGTGACGATATGTGTTTACACACGGTTTTACTAATAAAATTATTTAAATACATTTATAACAACGCAAAACATNTGCTATGATGGATTTCATCGAATTACAACTCCCCACATCGTTTTATG